CTATGATAGTCCAGCGAAATTTCCTTGCCCTTCTTCCATTCCTGGCGGTATAATGAAAGAAGAATTTTTAGAGCCTTTCTTTCTTCCTCTCGTTGCTCGTTTCGCAGTAGTAGTGGGTTTAAGCTTACTTGAGCTGCAATTGTGTATATCACTGACTCTATTAGCATGTGCATGAGATGTTTTTGTTTGCCGAGGGATTTTTAAAATAGGTTTTAAGGGTAGCATACGGAACCGTAATGTGTTATAACTACGAGACTTACAGTCAGAGCTTAAACTATTAGAGCAACTACTGCTTCTGATACTGCTGGATGTTGAAACCTTCATAACTCTTTTACGGCTCCTCCTCTAAATAAAATCTAGAGGCTCCCCCTCTATAAAATCCTTCACCTTATTTACCTAATAAAAATCTGCGGCGTTACGCGATAAAGCGTCAGCAATTGAATTTAACATTCGGGTTTGTACTTATAAGTATAATTGTACCCACAGAGTTTTGCTCTTCATCAATTTAGGTGACTCTTGGGGTTCTATATTTATTAAATCTATGTCAAAGGCTCGTGGTTTCCGTAAACTTAAAATTTTCGTCGGTATAAATAGTGTCAAAAATGTTGTAAGGAGGCTATTACTGCTAAGTACTCTTATTCAGTAATGGAGTAATTTCTTCGCATTTATTAAGAGTGCGAGATAGGTAGGCTACATAATGATCTTCTCCTGGTTCTCCTTGACTTAAAACAGCACCAAGAGCTAAGTTGGATGTGTCGGTAGTTCGAATAAATGGTTTGTCGAGATCGACACATGCAAGTACTGGGGCCTCACACAGGGCTGATTTTAATCTTTCAAAACTCATTTTCTGAGTCTTAGTCCAATCGAATTTTTGACTTTGCCGTAATAAAAGGGTTGAAGGCTTTTTAATTTCAACATTATCTTTAATAAATCGTCTATAATATCTATCTGTTATTGCTAAAAAAATGTGTAAAGTATAAAAAAAAGTATCTAAGTATAAATTTTGAAACACTTGATCACAAACATTAAAACCTAGAATTTAATAATTCTTATCTCAAAAAATATTTTTTTTTATTTTATTTATTAAGACCATGTTATTCTTCCTTAAATACAAGTGTAATTAATAGTGTTAGAAGGCTCTGACTAATCACTTAAGTAAATGAATAATTTTACAAAACTTGAAAGATTAATAAAAAATAAGATCGTCATTTAAAGTAGAAACGTATAAAACGCATTTATGAGTCTGAATCTACTTTTAATTTTCCTAATTTTTTTTAAAGCACTCACATAACGATTTTACTGCAACTTACAAAGAGATTACTAAGAATCCAATTGAGTTATTAAGTACTTACTTATTTAACTTTAAGCCTAGCACACAGGCATACATGGTTAATTTTTTTTTTCAGTAAAAATATAAGGCACTTTAGTAGATCAAAGGCACAGGGATGCTAAGTGCCAAAAAGCTGATCAAAATTCATTTTTTTATGATACGATCGGTGAGAGATATCTGCAAGTAAAAAAAAAATTGTAAATAGTAACTCAAATATTTTTCTTATCTGAATTGGAATATGGCCTTTCTGAGCACTACACTACAGTCAATACAGAGTAGATAGTAATTCGTCGATCTCGAACGTGTAAAACATTTTTTACTAAAAAGAATCAAGCAGAACAAAATTAAATCGACTTTTAGAGATTAGTTATATTCATGAAAAAATTTTCAAAAGCAAATCGTCTATCAAAAAATTCTTAGCAATACAAGGGTAAGTGCTTTTTTTCTTTTTGTTTTTTAATAAGAATTGACGTTGTTAAAAAAAAAAAAAAAAAAAGTAATAAACTGATTCAGACTTTCATTATAAATTTTTTTGAAGGTCATTTGTAAAAGTACTATTTTCTAAGTAAACCGAAATTCAGCTATCAAAGCCTGAAAATTAAATATGGATACACGTACTTAAAAAATAGAGTAGAATACTTGCTTTAAAAGTTCTAATAATAAGTAAAAGAATTAAAGCACACAGAGCGGAGCTGTAGAAAAAACAGTGCTGGAAAATAAAGACAACTTTATACACATACGGCATGATGGAAAAAGCTAGGCAGAGAAATAAAAAAGAGATATTTGATTCGATTTGAAAACTAGTTTATTATGCCAATGGCATCTCACCCGACTGAAAATTTTTAAAATATAGAGTATTGACATTAAATAATTTTATCTCACTAAAAATAATTTTAAATAATTATACTAGCTCAATCACCATTCACTGATTTGTTGGCATATACAAAATAAGATAAATTCATTGATTGGGATGCATACAGCGCATATAACGCATACACCACATGCGCACAAACATACAGCGACATCACTGGTCATAGTCATGTTTTCTCACTAGAAGGTCATTATCGAGCACAACCGTAAAAACCCCCAACGAGCCAATCTGTCTGATAGTTGACAGAATCAAATTCCACAGTCTCATAGCCTGCAATGAAGAGGCAGAGACATAAGAAGCATAAGATGATAGAGTAGCATAAGAAACATGGAAGGTCGGGTGGTCACGACGGCAGAAGCAATGAAAATCAACCATGCACTGCAGTTAAAAAGCAGATAGGTAGGTAAGTTCGCTCAAGGCCAAGGGCTTGTGTGTAAAGACCCCAAGAAAGTATAGGACGCAACTACCATAGCTTTTTGTAATGCTGTGCTAGTGAAGTGTTGCACGTCAGGCAGAAAATATATCAGACCACCGTGTTGCGCAGACAATTGAGCTCATCTTACAAATATCTGGACCAATCCATGCAAACCAGGCAGGCAAAATCAAAATATGGAATAATAAGGCATGTGGCAAGCAAAGTCCTAAGCTAATATGACAGGAACCTTAAACTTTATCTAAGCCAAAGACTCCATGAACCCTTGAGAAAATGGACGCAATGTGGGTGTTCTAGGTGAGATCACTTAACAAGAGCAAGCCAAGGTTCTTAACGACACTAACAAAGAGAATAAATCCTTCCGAGAAGAGGCAGCAAATTAACGTCAATGCGCATCAAATTATGACATGTAGCAAAAAAGCAAGGCATGCATTTTTCCAGAGTAAAGTTGAAAGCTGAACTGAGCCACCCAGGTGACAACATTAAAAGTCCCGATGGTCTCAACAATATCAGAGGGTCTGCATTGTATGCATGCCCGGAAATCAACTGCGAATAGAAGTCCGATGCTAAATAGAACTAACAGAACAGAGTTGATGACTATCAAGAACAACATGGGTTTCAAAGATGGTTTTCGTGGGACGACGGAAGTTCAAGAAAAAAAGTCTATTTTACCACCGGCGAGTCCAATAATTACCTGAGAGCTAGCCAACAGGTAGGAATAACATCACTTAAAGGAATCCAGAGAGCAACGCTATCTACCCATAGCTCTCATTAATATTGAAAGGCTAATAGAAATGTACTGAAATGTAGCAAGAGTATTGCTGCCCTGTTGGCTGCGTCTATTTTGACGAAGTCAACTAATTTATAATTATAAGTTTACGAGGGATTGCGGCACAAACAAAACTACTCCATTAACGAATGATAAAATCTACACAAAAAAACAACAACAATGTTATAAATTTATCTAAACAGAGGATGGAAAGGAACTGGGTTGAATAAATAGGAAATGCACTGATTATGAGCCACAAACGAAGATATATTTCATGGCTTAAGAGAAAAACCCAAGAGAAGAGAATTTTTGAAAATACAAACGAGTGAGGTTGAACTATAATTTCGAGATAAAATGTCCTGGAATAAAGAGTGTGTACGTGTGTATGTGTGTAGAAAACGTAAACGTGCGCGTCCGCACCTGTCTCGGAAAACTCACGAATTAACAAACGTCACACGGTCCATAAAGCAGATTTTCGTCGTGTTTTACTTGCAGCACGCCAAGCTTCTCGAAGATGATGCAGATGACGATAATAATTGAGTGAAGGAAAGCGTGAGAGAAATTAACCCCGAAAAGGTGACACCCAGATGCCCGTGTGCGTGATGATGATGATGAGAAAAGATGTAGACGCCAATGGAACGAATAGAATACCCAACTATGCCAAATACTCGAGATCGCAGTTGACAACTGTAGACCACTCTGTATAGACAGATAGTTCGGAACTGACCCGACGCGCCCACCCAAAGTAGTCGGTAGAATCAGTCGGGTTCTTTAAAATAAAATATCAATGCAACGATACAATGAGAAAAAGTAAAACGAAAATTAATTTTTTTACAATAATTTATTTATTGACTTAAAAAATTAAAAATTAAAAACTCATTAATAGAACTATATTATTCAGAAATTTAGAAAATAGGTCAAAGTTTATAAAAATTGGTCGACTAGTCGAGAGAATTTGAAGATGCCTCTAATTATATATACCAACACAACACACGCACATACACACATAGATGACATGCTTTTTAACAGTACTCCATTCAGATTCTAAACTCAAGGGTGCATGTTTACATCATATCAACGTAATATAAAATTTCCAGCCAGTTGCAAAGCTTGCTATAGTAAATAAAAAAACAAAAGAAAAAAGATAGCAATTATTTTATGTCTGCTATCTAAGATAGCATTATTTCATTTTTTTAAGCAACAAAAGAAATGAATGCTCCTCGAGGAGGGTTAGAGACTTCTCGTAGCAAAATTACCTAATTTTCCCCTACCCCCCTCCCAGTAATGGGAGGCCTCCCATCCCTCTTCCCTTCCTTCTTCCAAGTGCTAAGTGCCTAGAGTAGTGCTCTTAAGGGTGCTAAGAATTTAAGGTAAACACAAACACGGGTGATACTTTTATTTATGTGCTTTTTCAAATATCAAATTTACAAAATGAACATAGCTACGTGAAATATTTTATTTCTAAGTAGCTTTGAATTACGTGAATTTGAAATGGTTCTTCATTCCTACACCCAAGTTACTGTTACTTAAATGCGTTGGAAAGTTCTAATTGATGTATACTTTTATGTAAACTTGGTCTGTTAAAAAAAGAACTTACCACTTCAGAACTAAAACAGTCAGATTGAAGTTTTATAGCAAGGTCGATGTTTTTGTCGACTAATACGTCAGTGACATTTAAGCTCACTTGTCCCTGCAAATAAAATTTTCTTATTAAAAACGTATGTTGCCACAAACAGTTTAATTATGTTGTGAGGATTTATGTTTTCAAAATTTATTAAAAAATCCGTTATTGATTAACTATACTGCATTTATTTTTAATAAGATTCATGGGATTTATAGAACTTTTACAATTGCGGTTGATGATTTTACACAAAACTATTCGTTATTTTAAAATTTCAACTGGTTGACTTGAAATTGACATATTCGGAAAGTTATTTTTGAAAAATAAGAATAACTCAAAAGTTTAAATCAGAATCAGATTCTTTTCCTTTTCGCTAATTAAGAAAATAAAAAGAAAAAAAAAAAAAAAGAAAACAAGCTTTATATATGGGGATGGCGACCTTAGCGTTGGCTGCGATGGTCAAAATTTTGCTGCCAACCGCAACCTTCAATGCACTTCTTTATCAGCGCCACTACCAGCCAAGCTGTGAATTATCGCTGATGTACACATACTTATATATCTATAAGTAGTTCACAGTGATAGTTCCCACCTCGGCCGGCGGTGGGGCTGATAAAGAAGTGTTCTGAAGGTTACCGTCAGCAGCAAACTTTTGACCATCGTGGCCAACGCTGGGCGAGCTAGCAAACTAATCTCAGATGGCGCTACCGGTACTAAGACTCTAACAAGACCAATGGGATTCGAGAACGGTTTATGCACGAAAGTATATATGTATGTAGTCTGCAGTGCACATACAAAATTTCGTGTACAAACTGCTCTCACATCTCGTTGGCTAGAGTCTAAGTATTGGTTGCACCATCTGAAATTTGTTTGCTAGGTCGCCATCCCCATAGCATTAGAAGAGCATAAAAATTGCGCAAAATACTTTTTTCCTACATATACAAGCAAATCTGCAAAAAAATAAGTGTGGAATAGATCATTAGCTATATGCTTACTGTAACTGCTAATTTCAGTCAATAAAAGTGCCATGCGAACTAAGAGTTCCTACAAAATAGATTAGTAGTTTTCGTAGGATAAATGCCATCGTCTCCAAGTGGCAAATCCTATTTTTTCTACCAAGGGCACACCCAATCCTTAAACAAGCCCAAAGTCAGAAATGGTACATTACGTCACTATGGCACAAAGTACAAACATGGGCGCCCGAAGGGTGCGATTGTTGTATGTTGGTGCCCGAGTCGTGTATAATGTTTTTCTTACCGAGGGTCCAAAGTGATTTACCGGGCACAAAGTTGTTTGTGCCCTATGGGCTCAAAGTACTTTTCTGCCCTAGGGCCCAAAGTGATTTACCGGGCGCAAAGTGTGCTAACAGGCGCAAAATTACACAATAGTAAACACTTCTTATTGTTCAACAAATTTTTCCTGTAAGTTGATTATGGTGACACGTAAGTATTACGTAATACAATATCACATTAAAATTTAATGATTTATTATATACAATTAAATATATAACTAAAAACAATGTCCTTCTTATTGCTAATCAAAAATTTTAAATTATTGACTCCAATTGTTATCGTACATAGTAACAATAATAACCTTCAATTATACATCGTTGAGCTGCCCCAAATCGATTCCATAAGTATTTTTTAATAAGGACAGGAAGCTAAGAAATAGTAGTTTTCATCGGATAAGTGCCATCGTCTCCGGGGCTATTTGCGAAGCAGGACCCGAGGAACGTAAGGTAGCCACAGAGCGATGGCGCTTACGTGGCGAATGCTATTTTTCCTACCGAGGGCACACCAGCCTCTCAAAAACGCCCGAGGAAGGAAAATGATATTTTAGTAAGCACGGTATATTTGAAACCACTTGCTCTCTTTTTATCAAGCTGCGATCGGAGAGACACTACATCTGTAGTTGCTCTCTTCCTTCAATGAAACTAGGAATCTAGCGCATGCCGCGAATACAGTAGTGATTGTTTTACCGGGGTTTCATTACTGTCCAGTAGCATACAGACCGACACTATTTTTTTTATGAAAATATAAATATTAAACAACATTGAGAATACTACGACGTTTGTTTCTTAAAAATTCATAAAAACATAGCAGCTTTTCAACAGTACCAAAGCAAATCCTTAAGACGTTTAATTAAAAAAATTGTACAGTTTTATACGTGTGTCCAAAACTAGTGTCACTATAAAATCGACATAAAATCGGTCAAAATCAAAATTTTTTCAAAATTCCAACGGAATACAAAAATCGTTTTTTGAATTTTCTGGCTTGATTTAAAAGGTCTCACTATTTTGTACAAGTCTAGGGAAATTTTGGAACTAATAAAGAAAAAAAAAAAAAAATCGTTAAATACTTGAAAAATTTGTAACTAATTTTTATAAAATTTAATGCGATTGTTAATATTAACATCAACAATTTGAGAAAATTTTAAGCTTCTTGGTATTATTGTTCTTTTGATATTAAATATGTAAAACAAGTTATTTTTCAACTTTCAACGATATTTACCGTTAAACAAAAATGCTTAGCGACTTTTACTTCGGCTTAAATTTTGGATAGTTAAGTAAGAAACAAAAAACTATTGTATGTATTCAAAAAATGCACAGGAAATGTGACAAAAAGCAAAACGTAAAAAAGTCACTTTATCTCTACGAATTCTTAAATTTGAAAATAAATCACAACTTTTGCAGAGTGCGGGTAACGACAATCGTATTCTACGGCAAAAAATGCTTAAGAATCAATTAAAACATTGCTTCCATCCGTCAAATGCACAATTTTATATTATTTTTTCCTCGGCGTCTGGTCTATTATGGTAGGACGTAGAAAGAGCATTAGTACTACTTCACTTCTACACAGTACAGAAAAAATATTTTTCTTACTTCCTCTATCTCTCTGTCATTATCTCTCTCTACCTACGACTTATGCACTGACTCTCGTGTCTGTATATGGTGGTCAGTATTTTGTCTCTTCATTAATTATTTTACACACTCTTATACATGTGCGCTCCACTCGTCAACCTCCTAATTTTATGATACGCAATTATGAAATATATTAAAGCGATTGAGCAGATTATTACTATGATATCTCAAAAATAATTTCTTTTAATGTCTTTCAATGTTTTATAGACATTAAAAAAAATGTTTTTCAAATCGTTAAATGAATTCCAAATTATCTGGAGAAACATCATAAAAAGTGTTCTTAAATAAAAACATTAAGTTAGAAACTGAATTTAGCTCTAATAAATATACAAGAAATATTGATACATATAGTATCGTATCAATAAGTACACACATATTATATGGCGGCACTTTAAATAAATACTCTTACAACTATCCATACATGCCATTTTCCGATATCAAATAAACTGAAGCTCAAAATAATAAGTGTACGACTCTAATGCTTATACATTCCAGGGGCTAGACGCGTAAGGCCACGACCTGGGGCGAGAAAACGCGAAAATGCCCGAATACAGGCATCGGTTTCAGCGGCTCGCCACAGGGAAAGGGAAAATCAGAGAGAGGCTAGAGAGCAGAGACGGGAGAGGCATTAAGAGGAAGAGTTCCTCATGAACTGGACCTAATCAAGTTGGGCGGTTGAGGGGTGCTCAGCAACCATTGGCTCTCTTCTCTGGGTCCTCTCCGGGAACACGGTCTTCTTCGTCCCAAGCCTCTCACCTCTGCTTGTTTTCTCTTCCCGGTCTGCGTAAGTAAAAAGGGGCTATCTAATAGGCAATTGAAAAGAGTTCGTGAATTATCATTGCGATAATTCCTCGTCGCAGAAGCGATAAATCCCTTGCGGTGGCTTCGTAAGCGTACTTATCTTTCTTTGCTGATTGACTAGCCTATCTCTTTCTTTTTGAGGCTCATTTCTTTTGTTGTTTTTATATATCATACTACCGTGCTGTCTAGTCGATATATCCCGTTGATTCTGCGATGAGTCCACGATTGTACTCTTTATGTTTTTTTTTGAATATTATATCTGAGAGATTATTGAGTCCAATAGAGTATAGAGTGTAAGAGATTTCAGTTAAATATTTAATTATTGTCTATCAGTGCATAAAACTCGTTTACGAGAGAGATCGTAAAGGTGAATACAAATTTTGTTATTTACAATTATTATTTAGCGTTCAATGGTGATTTAATCAAAATAAAAACTAAAGTTTGAAGTATGTTGTTGAGCTAATTAAAATTATGATTTATCGAAATACTAGAGCCACGTCCATCGTAAATATCGTGTAAGACTCGTATAAAAAAGGAGTTTTCTCGTAATTTAAATATTAAATCATTGTTACAGGAGAAGTAACGCTAATGCTCTACAAAGCAAGTTTATTCAAAACGTTGTATAATTTTACGATAGAAAATAGTGAGTTGTGCAAACGGAAAAAGCAAATTATTTAGTTTATTTTAAATCCAAGATTAAAAGAAGTTGAATAGTGTCTAACTACTACGTTATGTTTTCTTATTTTCTTTTTTTATTACATCGATAAATTAGTCATTGTGTCAAAACCAAATCTTGTAACTATTTTATAAGACAAGAGATTTGAATATACTTTGAAATTGAATTATAATCGTTTTGTATTTCTTTCTTTATACACATTGTGCTCGTGGTTTTACCATACACCTTATCTCACATAAAGAAAAACCCCCGCAACATAAGTAAAACAATTTGATATTTCTCTAGTAGGTATACATGCAATGTTAATACATTGATCATCGTATTATATTTTCTTTTTCAAGAAATTCTTTCAAGTAGTTAATTAAAACGAGAAAAATATTCTCCCCAGATGCGGATCGAACTCATAACCTTCTGTTTACGAGACAGTTGCTATACCACCTGAGCTACCAAGGAGTCGTTCATATACTCACACCGTAAGTTTGGATGAATTCGCTTTTTTAGTATTTAACCTTTTTTTTACCTCAAGCGCAACATACTAAGTAAAAAACTCTAATTCCGGCAGGTAAGTTAAAAATTTAAAATGGCTCTAATAGGTATACAACCAAGTGGTAGAGCAACTGTCTAGTGATCGGGGGTTTTGTTTTTGATTCGTAACTAGGGAAAATATTTTCCTGATTCTTATCTATTTTATAAAAAAGATTTCTTCAATAAAAATGTAAAGTTGTATTTAAAATCTTCAGTATACTTGATATCAAAAAAGGGCATGTATAGATAATTTTAAGAGTGCTTACGTAAAAAGTTCCACCGTCAACATACATTCACCTCTTGATACGATGATAAATGCATCAATACTGCTTGTATACCTAATAGAGCCATATTATATTTTTAACTTATCTATAAGCATTAGAGTCATATATTTGTTATATCGAGCTCGAGGTGAAAAAAACAGCTCAAAAATAAATAAATAAAAACTTATCTACACCTACAATGCGAGTTAATTTACAGCTTTTCGGTAGCTCAAATGATAAAGGAACTGTCTAGTAAACAGGAGGTTGTGTGTTTGATCCGTCTCTGGGAAAAATATTTAACTCATTCTTATTTATTTTTTGAAAAAATTGCTTAAAAAAAAAAAATAGGTGAATTTGTATTACGAATCTTCAGTGTGTTTAATATTGAGAAAGGGCATGTATCCATGATTTTAAGAGTGCTTCTATAAAAGATCCCATCATCTTTATACATGAGCCTATTAATACAATGATAAAT